TGTAGTTTACGACGACCACAGACAATACTATCACTACTTCACCCCCGCCGCCCCCGCTGCCCCCGCCACCCCCGCCGCTGCCCCCGTCGCTACCCCCGCCGCCCCCGCCGCCCGCGCGATGATACCTACAAAGAACGACTGGAACTTGAGCGCCACCTGGCTTCCCACTGCGACGGTAATCTTCCATACGCAGTGTTTGTCGGGCGTGTAGTCGTCCGGGTAGTTGGGGCTCTGCAGCGCTCCCTCGTCAGCCGTGATCTCTCCTCCACACACAGCTACAAGAACATGGCAGCGAGATGTAGCGTAAAACAATCATCTATACCTACACATATATGTATATATGTATATATGTATATATATGTATATATATATATATGCAGCGCTCCCTCGTCAGCCGTGATCTCTCCTCCACACACAGCTACGAGAACATGGCAGCGAGATGTAGCGTAAAACAATCATCTACTTACCTAGCTGTATAGCTTAACCTATCTCTATAGCTATCTTACCTAGCTGTGTAGCTATCTTACCTGTAAGCTAACCTACCTGTATCTTCTTCACTCACCTTCATAGCTAGCCTCGAACCCGTCGAAGCCAGAGATAGACTTGCTCGTGTGATAATCAATGAGAAGCCGATTGGTGAGTGACGTCAGAGTCTGCGGAACGTCCGTGCCGCAGAAACGCGCTACAGAGAAGAGAGGAAGGGGTTCCTTTACTACGTAAGTTTAGAGCTACAGAGAGGAGAGAGGAGGGGGTTCCTTTACTACGTAAGTTTAGAGCTACAGAGAGAAGAGAGGAGGGGTTCCTTTACTACGTAAGTTAATAGCTACAGAGAGGAGAAGAGAGGAGGGGTTCCTTTACTACGTAAGTTTATAGCTACAGCGAGGAGAAGAGAGGAGGGGTTCCTTTACTACGTAAGTTTAGAGCTACAGAGAGAAGGAGAAGAAGAAGAGGAGGGGTTCCTTTACTACTACGTAAGTTCAGAGCTATAGAGAAGGAGAAGAGAGGAGGGGATCGATTAGGGGGGGGAGGGTGGAGGGAGCAGTGGATGGGAGGGGGGGGGTCAATGTGTGCGCATGCAAGTTAATTATTATAAGTATTATATTATATATAATTATATAAAGTATGCGAGTTATTGAAGTACGAAAATATAAAGTATTGCACAACATTATTATATTACGTATACATTCCAATCGGTTTGGGAAAGGTAGGGTGAGGAATATGCATCCATGCATCCATGCATCAAAGCATCCTGCAATCTCGCACATTGAATGAATGAATTATATTATATTATTATATTACGTATACATTTTACTCGGTCAAAACGATAGAATGTGGGACATCATGCAGTCTCTACTACTATCCATATATAATCTACTATGCATAGCTAGATGTGCGGTGCTGGGTGGGTAGGGGGATAAG